TTGGATAATACAAGGGCCTCTGGAGGAGGGAGTGTCCAGTCGTGTGGATCTTGAGCTTCATTTGCCCCTGTTTCCGTCACCCTTGAAGGGGACGCAGCTACGTTCATATCCTCCCTTGTCGATATGAGACTTGTCACCACGTCTCCAACCACGGATCGGAGCCTGATTCCAAGCCCGCCTAACAGTGTGGTGTCGAGGCAATAGTAGGTACTGGATTCATGTGATGAGGGATGTTGGACTTGCTGGAAGGCCGTCAACGCTATCTCCCTCTGAGGAAAGTCGCACAATTTTCGATAGACGGCCTTGAACTCGTTATTAAATATGGTAGTCAAGGACTGGGGTTGGCCAGATTGATTCCACTGAAACTTTGAATCCCAACCGGAAAAGGGGAGAGAAATCCTTCACCTCGAATAACACATGCATTGGCGAGATCTGCCCGTAAGTGTTCGCCAAGGACAGTGAGGACCATCCACTACCAAGCCATCATAGAAGAGAGGTGACGATCTCAGGTCAGCTCTGGAGAGACAGTGCTAATAGCCGAAGCTAAGTTTGACATAGGATGAAACATCTGTGTGAGTTCCAAATCAGGGCCGTCATCCCTTGAGACACACGCCTTGTAAGACGCACTGTACGAAGAAAACTGTCACACGCTGAATTTCTTGACAAGGGATTGCGTAAACGCCACGCAAGGCCTTAAGCGCCATAATAGTTGAAGTCTTCGAGGGTAAGATGTGTTCGTCTCCCGACGTAGGGGCCATCGGAAACAGTGGCGCAACCAACAGCTGCCGAACCCTAAAGATGCTGGAGGCAGTGAGGCAGTATGTTATACACCTGAGGCACTTGATAAAGTGGTAGCGTCATATAGATGCTGAATCTGGCAAAAACGCCGCTGGAACACAGTATTCAGAGTCCAACACAGTGTCTTCCTGCTGGAGTGAGTATGGGTTTATAGGCGCTAGATCTTGCAGAGGCGCCATACAGGCGCTGCATCTGGTAAAAAAAGCCGGACAAGACGCTGGAGTGAGTGAGTATGATGGTATGGGCGTTGGATCTCGAAGAAGCGCCGTACAGCTGGTAGTGCCGTAGAAAAACCGGACAGGCGCTGGAGTGAGTGAGGATCGTTTTATAGGCGCTGTACAAGCAGTGGATCGGGTAGAACCCGCCGGAGAGGCGCTGGAGTGAACAAGTGAGTATGGTGTTACAGGCGCCATACAAGCGCTGGATCTGGTGGAAACGCCATACAGGCTCTGGAGTGAGGGAGTATGGTTTACAGACACCGTACAGGCGCTGGATCAGGTAGACCATACATTTGCTGTAGTCAGGAACGAAGCTGGAACAGGTACGTATGGCGACGGAGACGCTGACACCAACTGCTGAACGCCGAGGTCGTAGTCGATGTGGTAGATGCGCCGTACAGACGCTGCAGTTATGATCAGCAGTGGCGCTGTTGTACCAGACTGCCCTGCTAACTAAGTCAAGTGTGGAATGGATTTAGATACATCCAGTGACTGCTGAGCGTGCGGCGCATGGATCTTAGGCGTCAGGAGTATGACGCCTGCCATGGAACTCTGAAAACAGCAACCTGGAGAATGGTGACGGAGCGCCAGATGCCCTAGAGTTAGTGGACATCAGTGGTGTGGCAAGTATTTAGGTGCTTGCCATAGGCAACGTCGATGTTGGACCTGGCGCTTCATAGACGGAAAAAAAAGGTGTTAAGATGATATATTAAGAAAGCGCAACAAGCACATTCATTCACGTGAAAAACGGGAGAAAACACGGAAAAGTGCAATTCAAACAGTATGAATGAAGGCACTTATGAGATACCCCGCCTTACAAACTATACAGCGTGTGCCGTATAGAAACTGCAACATAGCTGAAACCCCCAGCAAACACATAGTGAAAAATATTACAATAGTAATGAGGAACACACGGGGAAACAGTATAATAGTAACGGGGTATAACAGCATAATTGAGAACAAATGTCTCACAAATACTGACAAAAACTGGAGACCAGAATTAAGGCTTAATATACGATAATAGTATAACAAATAAGCATGAGCCAAGAACAAGCCACTACGAATACATCGAAGCCATGTGTTCTGAATGGCGAAGTGACCGATAATAGTGATGAAAACTATCGTGTTTATCACAAACACCATCACTACAACAGTACAACAAAAAAGACTAAACAGAAGGGTAATACCTACACCCTGTGAAGAACAAAGGAAACATCCAAAAGTCAGTTTATTATCAATAAACACAATTCATATGGTACAAATCAGTCGAGCTGGCAAACCACACGTGTTGCGAGGCGTGTGAAAGCAATAAGCTGAGGTGGCTGGCATCACCTTCCGGTGATGCGTGCGCAGACGGATGTTTACCCGAGACCAGGAAGTGATCACAGTCTATAGTTTCAACATCAATCGTCTGGCACAGCCACGTTTTGAGTCGTAAGCAGTAAGTGCAGGAAGTAAATAGTGCAGGATTAGTTAAAACTTAAACATTAACCAATGCCAGATCTATCTAGTAAAAACATCTAAAGGCTGTTGAACTTTTTATGATAAACTTATTTCCAATAATATACACCCAACTATTTGTAATAAATGGCAGCTGCTATTTCCTGAAATAGACTTTGATTTGAAAAATATATTTACAGTGTACAGAAAAGGATTGCAAGACAAAACTTATAATTTTTTTTCAGAATAGAGTTCTACAAGGTGTTATTTATACAAAAAGAGAATTGCTTAAAATGAAAAAGTTGATAGCAGTCTATGTTGTTTCTGCAATGATCTAAATGAGAGTGTTTGTCATGTGTACTGGGAATATCAGGAGACACAAACTTTTTGGAAAAACCTACAAATTTGGCTTAACAATTTATACCCTCATCCATTGCTATTATCAAAACATATGGTTTGGTTTGGTACTCTACATCATAATATATTACTAAATCACATCATCATTGCAGCAAAAAGACACATTTACGTATGAAGTATTAAGAATACTTATCCAAACATAACTGTATTTATAAAAACTCTGAAAGAAGTATTCTTTGTGGAAAACCATACACATGTATACTACTCAAAACAAGTTAAGGGTCATGCGATGTCATCATGTAATGTTATTGATGAGGCTGGTTGCATCATGTATAAATAAAATTTTACTTTCCGTGTATGGAAGTTTATTCAAAACCATTGCAGAACCTGGATAAAGGCTGCAGATAACCGTGGTGCCAACAGTCATCATGTGGCAGGGTGTTAAAAAATGAACAAATTGAAACATCGAGTGCTTCACAGAAGCTCCACCACTGTGCGTGTAAAAGATGATGTTTCATCATGAACAACATGTGCACGTGTTCTTCGTGGGATTAGTGCTGTGCATGCTTATTTTCCCTATAAAACTTGTGATTGTCGCATTGTTATTGTCACTTGAAATTCAACAATGGCAAGACGTCAACTGAGCATGACAGACAGAGGAAGAGCTCTTGCGTGGCTTCAAGATGGCGAACCTCAACGCAGTGTGGCTCAGAGACTAAATATGAGTCAGAGTGTCATTGGAAGGTTATGGCACCGGTTTCGTGTCACTGGAACGCTGAATAATCGACCACGTTCTGGCAGGCCTCCATCAAAAACTCCTAGAGAAGACCAATACCTGACAAATATTGCTCTCCCACAACGCACAGTAGCTGCAAGTCAATTCCGTGACCAACTGAGAACTGCCACAAGTACCCTGGTATCTGATCAGACTGTCAGGAACCGACTGACGAGGAACAATCTTCGGGCACGGTGACCAGCAGTACAACCACTGCTCCTTCAGCGACACACGACGGCAAGACATGACTGGTGTAGACGCCATGTTCGTTGGCAACGTGCTCCAGTGGGCATCAGTTCTTTTCTCCGACGAGTCTAGGTTTACTCTACAGTTCAATGATGGTAGAACTTGGTTGTATCGGCGTCCAGGAGGGAGGTTTGCTGACGTTAACGTCAACCAACGTTTGCCATTTGGAGGCGGGGGTGTCATGGTTTGGGGTGCGTTTTCCTTTCATCAAAGGACACCTCTCTATGTCATTAATGGTACCCTGACCGGAAATCGCTATCTACGGGAGATTATCAGACACCTTGTTTTGCAATGTTTACAATGTACCGGCTTCGGATCCATATTCGAAGGTGGCAATGCCCGACCACACCGTGCCCGTGTTGTGACGGACTTCCGTAGACAGAACAATGTTCAGCACATGGAATGCCCGGCATATTCAGCAGATTTATTCCCTATGGAACATGCTTGGGACGAGCAAGGACGTCGGCTTCGTAACAACCACGGCCCTCCAAACAACCGTACAGAACTGTCCCAGTATCTCATTGCAGAATGGCAGACAATACCCTAAGCCTTCTTCCAACGTCTGGTGAACAGTATGAGACAGAGGTGTACTGCTTGTCTTACTGCTCGAGGTGGTTACATCCGTTATTAGTCCAATGTTGGCATTTGAGTTTTCACTTCTGACAGTAGGTCACTTTGACCTTATTGATCAGCAATCACTGACATTCCTGCTGTTTTTGTCGCCCGTTATGGTTATCATGAAATGTTGGCTCGAGTTGTTATATGATCGCTACATTTTACTGTTATTTATATTTGTAGTTAAGGCCATTAAAAGTTTTGACCCTTAACTTGTTTTGAGTAGTATATATGCAAAAGAAATAATAAAATAGAACATTTCAATCATAAATGGGTCCCTCTCTTCCCAGTACTTTGATGAATTTAAAATGTATCCATATTTACCTGATATCATATTTCTCTTTTATTGACTTACATATGTGTATTAACATGATATTGGCATAGTACCTGTACATCATCTATCTGTCTGTACATCACTTTTGTACATATGACATTGTAATCTTGGGAACCAATAAAAAAAGAAAAAGGAAAAAAAGAAAGAAAAAAAGGTATCGGCATCAGAAACAATGCTGTGTTCCTAACCTCAACAGACAACATGTCTGATCATATTCTTACTTGTACTCCACTGATGTCATACCTGCAGACTGTGCTGCTGCAACGACCCCCGTGCCATATCCCGTCATCGCAGCTGTAGACATCGCACCCGCTGCCATGGAGCCTGCTGTAATCCCTGACGCTGTGAACCCCATTCCTGCTAGCCCGGCCCCAAGGGCCCATGGACCCAGTACCGCACCTGCTACTGCTCCACCTGCAACAGCGGGGCCCCAGCACCACGGGTCATCCCAGAAACTCTTCTCCTTGCTCTCTAGAATAAATATTTCATGCATTAGGATTCATATTCCAAATTGGTATTCGGGACTACTGGCAAACAAGGATAAATTGAGCACCGACTTGACAATTGACCCATATTAGCATGTATGAGTTGTTAGCAAAGGGGCCTCAGGTTGCCCGCGATCAAGTGTAGTGCAATGGGTGAAGCACGTGGCCTGTCTCAGCAAACACCGAGTTCGACAGTGGCAGGAATCAATTCCATCGTCATGCAATGCACGTGCACTAGCCTACATCTGCTCTTCCTTTCACAAACCAAATGGGTTTGCTCATTGCCGTGAACCGCCTACTTCTCGTAAACACGTTGTCTGCACCGGTCCAACTTATCCTTGTTTGCCAGCAGGTGGAAAGTCAAGAAGGCGTAGAGTAACAGTTGGTACTTGAAAAAACATAGAATCATTCTCTTCACAATGATTTCAACACTGTCCCCTTATTAAAACCCACAATACCACAATAACATTAATGGTTTTGACATTGGGCAGACATAGTGAATGGTTTAATGTGTTTCATGACTAGCGAAGGGTCTTGCTGCTTTAATCATTTTATCATGACAATACCTTACAACTGATGCTGATTCAACCATGCATACAAACGGAACTTTGACCCTGATGTTCATACGCTGACCTTGACATTGGATTTTCTTACAACCAGGAACAATGTTCACCAAACCTTTCTAGCCAGAAGTATCTCAATCACCGACACTTTCCAGGTCAAAACTGACGACCTAAATTTCAGCCACAAACATGGGAGAACATTCTAGTTCTGGGAGTGTTAGTTTACATTGTCTATGTTCATTATATCACAATAGTTTAAGAATGGAACAATCATTACACATGCCACTTGTATTTTTTTTATAGTTTATCGTCAGAGTGACAAGCGGCGACGGTAAACCCACGTTTCATTGAAAGTGCTCACCTGACCTTGACCTTTAAGGTAGCCGTAACATAAGGCGACAGAAATCTCATCTTGAGGATAATGTTTATAAAGAGGCTTTTAATATCATCCTTTCATATGACAGATTTTTCCCAAGGGGTATTGCCAAAAAACGCGCTCGGTTGAGAAATCCAATTGCGACAGCCATTATCAAATTTGAGCAAACACAATCTGCACCCCCATTTACACCCTGACTTTGTGTCTGAGAGAAGCTGAAGTACCGTCAGTACAGCCGAACATTGTCGTGTGAAGAAGCTGAAGTACCGTCAGTACAGCCGAAACATTGTCGTGAAGAAGCTGCTTCCTAACGGAACATGACAGGTGGTTGTGAGGGTCCACTTACCTGTGCCACGGACGCCAAGACCGCTGATGAGGAGCAGATAACATACGACGTACGTTCGCAACATGTTGTTACAAGTGATTGTAAATAGTCTGTGGTGAAAGACGGCAGAGTTTTAGTAAACAATACTTAACTACAAAAAAGTAAACACATGAAAAATGAAAAAATAAGATGTTCGTTAGCTTAATTCGATGTGAAGAGTTGCGTCCCTTAGGTGACACCCTAATGACCGCATCGGAACATTGAGAGAAGAATTTCACCAGACCACCAAAGATGTCAGAAACTGCGAGCTGAAAACGATTATGCATGGAGACGGGAGGTTGACAAAATTCAACACAATTTCAATAAGGGACAATAGATTCACTAAATCAAATTCAAAATCAATGTATCGACGACTCTGAAACGCTAATCACGTCAGAGATTACGAGGCTTCAGAAACGCAATACACTGATAAAAACAGCAGATTCGTCAGAGGGTTGTTGTTAGACAGTTCGGAATTATTAATTTCCATGGAAGTTCTCCCTCTCCTCCCATACCCCTTTAAATAGTACCGTACACCATTTTTCATCTTTGCAACGTCGAATTTGATAAAGTTGAGAAAGTGGTGTCTGAAACGATGATGCCTGTCGAATATTTGTGTTTACAAACCAACATAAGGAAGAAAATATGCAACTGTTGAGAGTTACTGCAAAACTGATATGAAATTGACCTTGTTTTAAAATTATCAGGTATGTCTATTTGACCTTGACCTTTACACAATGTTCATATCCTTGTTTGTAAACAGTTGAGTTGTATGTTATTTAAGCAAACACTATATATGCATAATGCAAAATGCCAATGTCATATTTGATTCATTCACAATAATCATTGTATATTGTATGACACTTTTCATTTGGCAACAATTGGTTTTATTGAATAGTGACTCTGAGCTCTGAACCAATGTAGCCTGTCTTATTTGTGTTGAAATACAAAAGATACATGAGGAAATAATCAATTTTAGTCCAGATTTGCTGCCAAAGTTATTGCGACCTTGACCTTTGACCTTGAAGATGCTTTATTCACATGTGGTTATCACCTAGGGATCATTATATCATGAACACATGTAAATACTATTGAAAAGCAACATTTAGTTACATAAAAGCCTCATATAATGCATTTCTGTGATACACTTAAAATGTATGGTAACCATGGAAACGCCCTGAATCCCAAGTGTTCCAACTCATCTGAAATGTATTTTGTCAGAAAGCTGGGTATGTGAGGTGTCTTATGATACCAAATACATGGCGTTGAGCTTACACCATACTCAGCAGTTTCGAGGCAAAACATAGCATTTCAGGCAAAAATAGCAAATAGCAAATAAATCGGATTACTGTGACCTTGACCTTTGACCTTGACATTGCTTTATATGGTTCGGTGGAGCAGTGCTTGGATCAGCACATGCATTCTCAAAAATGGTGAAAATACACTTCATAGTGAAAATGTATTCCTTCATATATAGCAGTCATGTTTTCTGAAAAATTGCATGGTCACCATGGGAACGCCCAAATATGTATTTAAAAAGAAAGTAGTGAGATTACCGAGTGTACAGTAATAAACCCATTTAAACTGAAAAGAAGCCCCAGGGAGACCAGATTTCCTGAACCTGGGGAATTAGAGAATCTGACCTTCTGGGTCCACTTGCACAGAATGATCTTATTCTTAGCGCTACAATTATTTCACCACAAGTTGATAAAGTTACAAATATCCGAGGCTTGCCGAGGATATTTTTTACCTTTATCAATGAATGTTGATACATTTAATATCAGAAGACACGTGGGTGAGATTCTTTTTATCATATCCATATCTGAACACGGTTCTGCTTTTAAACTTGCAGTGCAGCGAAACCATAGCATTGTGAGGTCTTCATGTTCATGACGTCATTGCCTTGTCAGGGCATTGTACAAAATCTACTGTCAAAATGATATCCCCTAGGAGATATTGTTTGATCTCACACAAGCAATATCTCTTGTGGAACACTGGTTTGGATGATAAATCTATATTCCAGCAAGACATTGTGTGATACTCGATTCTGACTGGCTGAGAGCTCATCAAAACCGTACTTAAATGGCAGTTTAAGGATCGCTAATCAAAGTGAGTCTCACATTGGCTACTCCTCAGCCAAGGCTTGCTAAATACAATTATTATTCCTAATGCAGGATATTAACCATCCCAAAACACACTCGCGTGATAACGTATCTTCATATTTGCGACTTCATGTCACGCCACGGCCGAGGTGAGTTGATACACCCCTCGGCCATACATCATATTATACTGATGTCCATATATGTATTTTACAACTACGCCTCAGTCCGATTTATCAGCGGCCAGGACCCGCACTTGTCAGACATGACCTAACTACCACTGTGTGTCACTACGCTATTTACATCCATGAAGGATTCTACTACTGATGTCATTCTGTGTTATTATTGTGCAGGCTTATGTATTTCATGCCTCCATATGATATATTTATTCACTGTCTGGAATTAGTATGTATTTTGAGTGATAACAACGATGTTTGTCAGGGACTATTTCTTGTGTACACTCCTGCTTCGTGGCCATTTATAGAAAGTTTGTGTGACTATTCACCCAGATAAACAATGACTTATTACACTTGTTAATGACGATTTTCTGATAACTTTCTTGCTCAGAAGTGTTTTAAAGTGTATTCCATGATGGAAACTAATGAAAATTACACTTGATTGCACTGAATAACGAATTTGATCTGTTTGATATTTCTCAGGTTGCGGTGACCTGTCAAAAAAACATTTACGTTAGGCTGAGTGACTAATCACAAACAGGATGTCCGTTTTTATATCAAAGCCACATATTCATTATATGGTATTTTCCTGCATTCTATGGTAGAAATACATTGTTTTAAGAAATAGAGGACAATATATAACCTGTATTTCCTACATTTGTACCTGCAATATGACAGTCGTTCCGTGTTTTGACATTTGTTGCCGACAATCATTCAAGCAGGGATAATGTACAACACGTTATATAGTCTCCCTGATTCAAGGCACTAATTGACAGTCTGCTGTCCGTTTTCTCTGTTTGCATTTACCAAATATTTTAGCAATCTTGTTAGTGTCCGCATTGTTAAAGGACACATAGGACATCAATTCCTGGATACAGGGAATATTGATGCTACTGTCGCAGGTCCTGGCCGGAGACTGAGGCGTAGTTGATTAAAATCTGTTTATTCTGTAAAATATATATGAACATCAGTTGATGTATGACCGAGGGGTGTATCAACTCACCTCGGCCTTGGCGTGACATGAAGTCGCAAATATCAAAATCGCACATTCTTTACCATTGCACAAATTGCATTCATGGTATGGTATTTACAGTATTTTATATAATATTGCACTTGATATAAAGTAGAATATTATGAGCAGATTAACACCCTGGATGCCGAGGTTTTTTTCAGGCGCACATTTTCATACGCTTTGAAAAGTGAACGTTGTGCGAGAATTGCGCTCGCGTGGTCCTGGATCTACGTACGGCTATAATTTTACACAGAAATGTAGAATATTAAATTTCCTATCCGTTGGTATAATATGAGTGCAACTACCTCTGCGGTTTGAGAAATAGACCGTGCTAAATGTTGTCCAAATTTGTGTTATGCGTTAAAAAACAGTAAATTTCTCCGCTTTTTATCGCGCACCGATAAAAGCACTGTGCTACGATTTTTTTATTTTGGCATCTTTACGGAAAGTGTGTGCGAAGAAAATACAGCCTGATATCTGAACGACATAAGTGTATATGAATTGGATTTATGTGCTTATGCATAACATTATACGCTCAACATTAAAAATGACTCGCAATAAATGTCAAAAATGGATTTTCTTCTACGACGTCACACGACGACAGAGAGGTCATACACGTATAATGATAAGGGGGCATAACTCCGTTATGCTTAACACTAGGTCAATGTAACTCAGATCACATGGAGAGTATTTGTTGTGGATACGGACGCTATATTTTCGGGGTTTTTTGTTCACGGTGAACCAAATTATTCCAATTCAAAGTTCCCCAATGTGAGCGGATACGCTTTGGTAGTTTCACAATATATAAGAAAAGATGACAACGTACTACATGTGAAAGCACGTAATAGCGGTTTGGATGGCCCTATCCGATATATAAGTCAGTTCTTAGATTCCCATATTCTCCTGTTTGTGTAGATGTATTTTGACAACATTTTAGTTGACGTCATTGCTTGTTTTATGCATTTGATTAGTATATATCTCACCTAATTTCCATTAATTGTGTGAAAGGTCTCGAATTCTTTGTCAGAATTAACACTCTTTAGACAAAACATAAAATGACTGGTTTTTCCATTTAAATAGTGTCCTGAACATATCAACAATTAGACAGTTCGACTGTGTATCTTATCATGAGCAACACGCGCACCTGTTTGGCATCAATTTAACGTAAATGAAAAATAACATTTCACAACACCCGAATATTTTGTTTAGGATAAGAATTTTCTTTATTTATAATTATGTAGCTATTTCTCTTCATAAGTATGCAATGGAAGATGCAAAAAAGATAGCTTTTTATATATGGAACTAGTACGTACTATATATTAGAATATGGATGTAAGATTTGTCCAAATTAAGACATGACATGGTTTAAATCGAATATGAATTGATTATATTATCGAAAACAATGATAGTGAATCATAAAACGTTTCCGACAAACGCGCACCTGGCCAATCAATATACATCATTGTTTTCTCTATAAAACGACACAAAAATGTGCAATGAACAAGACAATTCCTTTAAATGTGTGTGCATATACATTTCATAACATACATAAATCATTTTCATTAAATATTATCAGTTTTACTTATAAGGTTTAATCAAATCGCCGTTCATTAACCTGTTCATGTGAAACTGCAATATTAGTTCAAATGCATTGAATATTGTACATCATAGGAACTAAAGTTGTTGCATTTATGGCTACGTTTGATCTTCTAATAATTGTGTAAAGGTTTAGAATATGGTGTACTGCACTAAATGTGTCAATTTCTTATGTAAATATTATTCAAACAATCAAAAACTTTCAAAGAATAAAACACCGTAAACCCTATATGCACGTGTGATATGATATTGGACAAGGCTAAATGTACATACTGGGGTCAGTTTAATGAAAAAGTATCTGAACTATCCGCAAAATATAAATCATAATACTGACAGTGTAATCGGAAGGATTGGGCGATTGTGTTTACTCTTGTTCAACCGACCTTCACCGCAATATTGACCTCTCCTTGACTGGATTGTTGTGTACAAGTAATATCACTCGCAATGATGTTCAGAATGTCATTCTTGCTTACATTAAAGCTTGTGGCAGCTTTACTACTTTGTAAACATGTATAAACGTAGCAAACCTTTATGATGGGCAAGGTGTAAATGGGCCCAGTTGCCCGAACACCTATCAAACTTTCAATTATCCATCCATCCTTCACCGCAAAGAAATTGCCTAATATGTACAACAATGTTGATGTATGACATCACTACCGATGACCTATTTCTTACAAAATGGCGGCTTTGCTGACAACTATACACAGGATTTTGCGAGGACCCTTCCATTGATTCAGGGATCGTTTGTACATAAATATGACATGTAAAAAATCAGAATGATTCTGACTATCTGTGTATTGTTATATGTTTCTATCGTTTTCACTGTAAGTAAGAGAAGAAGCCAGAAATGCTGATAATTACAGTTGTCGTTCTGCGTGATGTTGCCTTCAGTCATGGCGTCACGCTGCACGGAAACTTTGACAATTTCTTATGAATTATCAAATCATTGCATTGTATCTATTCATAATTTCTTATTTCTTAGTACGATACTCTTACCATGCATATCCCAAAGGTATTTAGCCATTGCAAGCAATGAGTAGACGGATGAATGTTGGAAATATTCAGAAAATGCTACGCAGTGTAAAATCGGAATTTGTCTTTGTTTACATTTCGAACCAGCGCAGTCTTTCGAGCACAGCGTTCGTTTTCACACCCAATATGTTTCGTCTCATTTTATCTGGACAGTTGGTATTGGTGACAAAGACACCATACAATAGATATCTTATCAATATTACGATATCGCGAACCTTTATGATAATACGAAAGTATACAGAAAAGATACATTCCTGTAAAATATATAAGAACATCAGTTGATGATGTATGACCGAGGGGTGTATCAACTCACCTCGGCCGTGGCGTGACATGAAGAGGCAAATATGAAAATGCCTACGTCACGGAACAGGTAATGCACGCGATGTCACGGAACAGGGAATGCACGAGATACTACTGGTATTACAACCAGAGTGAGAGAAGAAGCGCTCGTAAATGAGCAGAGAGGAATGAAGTTAGAGATACGCAAATGTATGGGGAAATACATCCGGCGACACTACACTGGGCCTAAGTTGTCAATGGTCTTAGCATACATTTGACGTACAAAATGTCGTCCCGTCGCTTGGCCTGAAAATATCGTTGCCCTTATTCTTGTTATATCACACGCTAGCACAAATCTCATTTGTCCAACATGTTCCATCTTTTCGGACACTTTATATCACATAAGGACAATACCATATGATAAAGGATGATGCCTATAAATACGATCACTGGTTAAGGCCTAGGTCATTCGATTCAATTCGATTCATTCGATTTATTCGATTCACTCGGATCACTCGATTTAAGAAATACACTTCGCTCTACCACCATGTATAGTGTAATAAAACACACTTTCGCCCTGAACTATTATAGCGTCCGAGTGCTTTAACGTTATAATAGTTCAGGGCGAAAGTGTGTTTTATTACACTATACATGGTGGTAAGGCGAACTGTATTTCTTTTCTAAGATGCCAAATTTAATACTTTCTAAAGATAATTACGATTAATTTAAGGCAGAAAACAAACGTCGGTGACCTAAATTAAGAATCCTCGCACAGGGCTAACTGGCGCGCTGTTCTATTGATGTGTCTTCCCCCTACGTTAAGACGAACGTTACCAGAAAAAAACAAATGATAACAGTTTGATGACGGTTTACGTTCGGATTAAATATCTTCTTTGAATTATTTTAATTACATCTGTCATTAACGTAAACCATATGGGGCAATATGAACGTTGCATTTCTACTACCAGCGTAAGTTTAGATCAGTACATCCAGAGGAAGTTGAGTAGTCAAGCGACATTCCACAATTGCATTGTGGGAATGTACATATTACGAACGTTACCGTGTCGCAGAAAACTTGTGAGTCGAAATGAGACATTTTAACCGTCGTAAAACATAAACGTAATGTTTCCACCAGTGATGTTAGCTGCGTGAAGCAACAGCAAACCAAGAAACGGGATGCAACGGTGTAGTTTACTGTAGGAGGCCGTACGAGGCGATGACAACTGACATGCATCGTGACGTCGCTTACATTGTGACGTAATGTAAAGATGGTTCGATTACGAGGGGGCAGACTAGAATGGCGCAGTGACGGGATAACGTCATTCAATTGTTACGTCATCAAAAAACTATACCTTTATTGTCTGATAATGTATTTTTTTTCCGATTGTTCTAACCGCTAGGCATCTTAGAATTAGATACAATAAGACATTCAGAATGACTAAAGGCCCCTTCTCTTATTTTTACCTGGCACCTCTACTGACTTAGATTTATCAACATAACTGCCAGTGGCGAATCCAGGGGTGGGGGTGTTTTCAGGGAGTTCGGACCCCGCCCCCACCCCTGCCCCCACCCCTGGAAAGTGACTTAAGACCACATTGAATTTTTTTTTAGTATATAAGTAATCAGTTTCGGACATCAAAGCATTCCTAAGGAGAACAATAGCATTCCTAAGGAGAACAATAGCATTCCAGGGGAGAACAATAGCATTTTTTAAGGAGTACTCCTACATACCAAAGGAGTTTTCAGAGCACATTCCATAAATTCCAGCGAGAACAATAGCATTTTTCAAGGAGCGCTCCTACATACTCAAGGAGCTTTCAGGAGCACATTCCATAAATTCCAGGAGCTGTCCTTTGAACCTATTCCATGACATCATTATATAATGAGATTACTCATGCTGACTGGAATGTGTATTGAAATGTTATGAATAGGAACCAAGCAAATTTGATATATTGAAATTAAATTTGAAATGGGTGGAATGTTGCTCATGTCTATAAATTCATAGCTGATTCTAACCGCTTTCAATAAGTGCTTGGTACCATAAATAATATGTTCATTAAGTAGTACATCTTATTTGTTAACACTTGTTAGCTAGTCTGTCGTACAGACCCTGAAGCAAATATATCCAAGAAAGCCCACGCAAGTCTAGAAAATGTGGCAAGTCTAGATTTCCTCACCTTCTGAAAATGAAGAAAGTCTCAGGGCTCCTTTTCATTATATTATATTATTATTATTTTTATTATGAACTTTTTTCAGTAAAATATGTTCATTTTGGAGACTAGTTGTTAGTCTAACTTGTAAGCATGCATCACTTCTTACGTTATATTCCATCAGAATTCCAACCTAGAAATGCAGCAGTCTATTTCCTTTTATATGTAATATCAATGTTCAAACCATGGCCATATAGCTTCTTTGGAAATAACATATTGTTTAAATCAAATAGTTTGAAAAGAAGTACAAACATATGTCAATATGAATGGAAGGCTTAGCCTGGTGAGTCACGCAGACTGGAATGTCAGTTACTGAAATTGAAAATATTCACCCAAACGCAACCGTCCACGTTAAAGTGGGACGAAAGTTGGGTCATCTCGCCTCAAAGTTGTGTTTTGGCGCTACACTCCAGCGGATCGCAATTTGTTCAATCTAAGATATACTACCCATCAAAAGCTTAAACTCACTAGTGAAAATTAAGTAAAAATACAGGTAAATGGTACCTGCGGCAAAGATTAATTATTTACAAAACCCTGCAAGATATCATTACACAGCCAACTTGCATGAATTCGATATGGGTCATGCTTCTACAAAACAAGGTCATTTCCGATTTCCGTAATTCTGCAACAAACATAACTCTCTGAGATTGGAATGTGTATTGCATGTCAACTGAGTATTTCTCTACTCCAGCAGGTAAAGGGTTAACAGAATGTATGAAATACAGCTCACCTTTTCTAGCTCATTGTACATGTCTGCATATGAATATAATTCTGCAGTATACAAGCAGGTCAAAATTAAGACTATTCTCTGCAAGAAATGAAATATCAAATGCTCAATGGATGAGAAATGTTACTTATAAGTCAATCAATTCTAACAATTTGTACAAAGTTTCAATTACATACCTTCAACTGAACAACATAGGGTTTGCAGAAACACCGTTCCTGGTCTTGAATTGATAACACTTTTTTCACTTTGCTTTTAAGGATAGGTATAGTTTCACACAACTGCTTATCATTCAGCTGAATCACACGCCCGGCAGAGATGTGTGCGTTCACCTGTACCTGTGATATTTTTATACCAACATAAAATAAAATCACGTATATCTTCAATGTCTTACCACTTTATTTTGAATGTTTAATGGTAGACGCTATTCAGAAAATGTCACGATTTATATTACACTATATCATGACTTACAATTCCTTTGAATTTTCAGTACACATATTCTATTAAAAATGTCACGATTAAGGTTTGCAAACTTTTTTGTTTGCAGACAAATAAGAAAGTATACCATATGACCTCGTTACACAATTTCTGATTATTGCATTGTATTGCAATAGTTGTGCCACAAACTATTTTATTGATACTTCATCAACTACAACCTTTATATTAAACTGAGGTCAGATTTAGTTTCATGTGTTTTCTGTGGAAGGTTATTTAGTATGTATGTAACTCATTAATAGCTAGGGGCGGTGGGGTAGCCTAGTGGTTAAAGCGTTGGCTCGTCACGCCGAAGACCCGGGTTCGAATCCCCACATGGGTACAATTTGTGAAGCCCATTTCTGGTGTCCCCCGCCGCGATTTTGCTGGAATATTGCTAAAAGGGGCGTAAAACCAAACTCAGTCAGTAAGTCAGTCATTAATAGCTAAAGATATGCATGGCGTAACAAGTCAGCCAAGTCATGGTTGGGTGTATTGTTCTCATGCACTGATACATTCAGCCATCTCAGCCTTCATTAAAGCAAAACAATGGATAGTATAAAAACGTAGTAGCCATTTCCAAATAGGGAAGTGCTGACACAGAAAGGAATGTGTATTCACGTGACAAGCTCACTGTGTGGTCATTGTTGAGATGTTATTATAGATCATGAGCCACAACTGACTAGTGTAGGGGCTGCGACTTGACACTATTGAAAAGTGATGCCGTGTGTCAACAACCTGTTTGTGAGCTTTTTAGGTAGATAGCAGAATTCGAAGAACAGCATTTTGCAAAAATATGAAATTATCTAAGCTGTAATCGTTTTGTGTTTTCTTCACACGAAACATTCGAGTTCAACAACACCACCTGGATGTATTGTAGGAATAGTTTCATTGGTAAATACTTTAGGTTTTTCTGCTTATTTGGTCAAAGCTTCTTTAACTTGCTTTGTTGTTACCTCTCGGTAGTTATGTAAAGTGCATGAACACTCATACACACGCAATGTCTGCATGACATTAAGGTTAGACGTGATGACAGATGCTAATACACTAATGCTATATTAACTTAGACTCTTCATTCAGCCAAAACATGGCGTAGCAGACCTTTCCATATAAGGTTATGCTACTACTTGATCACCCGATCCAGAGCGGGGGCGGTCTTGTGAAAAGACAATTACACTGGTGTCAGCAATATATATATTTATATTCGGGGGTTCGGGGGCGGTGGGGTAGCCTAGTGGTTAAAGCGTTGGCTCGTCACGCCGAAGACCCGGGTTCGAATCCCCACATGGGTACGATGTATGAAGCCCATTTCTGGTGTCCCCCGCCGTGATGTTGCTGGAATATTGCTAAAAGCGGCGTAAAACCAAACTCAGTCAGTCAGTATCAAGATCATATTGTTTTGAACAATAGGATTGCTGAAACATATTTACAATGTGTATGACACCACAGAAACATGAATTAAAAACAACGAAACAAAAATTGCAACAGACCTTTTATTAAAGGTCACATGCAACGTAAAACACAACTTTGCAGATTCTGATACCTTTCGGTATGGACTTACCGAAACAAATCGTCAAAAATGCAAATTCAACTTATAAAGTTGAAAAATAACGCGATGAAAAAAACCGCGCGAAATCGGAGTTCAAACGTTTCACTAATTTTCCCCCGACTTTTCTGGGGAAAACGGGTTTCAACAGCTGGGCTGCGCTCATAGCACGTGCGCAGTGAAATAGGTTCGCGCAGCTTGGAAGCGGGTTGTCCGGTGAATACTCGGTGAAGGCTTTGGTGTGAGCTATTTTTCTAATGATTTGTTGATATCTCACAGGCGCGAGCTTTTTATATGTTATGACAGTAAATAAACTGTTTATATAATTTCATTTGTCTATTTCACCACACGTTCTTCTTACCGAGTCACTTTCTCAGTTCGATACTTAAAAGCAATGTCATTATTTAGCGTTGACAGAATTTCTAACTGTGATATAGATATGTCGTTGTCACAGACAAAACTCAATGTCTTGTTTTATTGACACCTGTTTGTCTGCCTGCCTGTCTGCTAATGACAATATTCAATACACAGCTGCTATCACTGACCACATGCAATTTGAACTTAACACCAATCAGGCTATACACCATAAACAAAATGCATTGATTTATGGCCCGAGTTCGGTCTCTGTCACATTATGTAATTACACAGACAGGTAGGTGTGATACTTGAACACATGCCATGTTATGATGTCTGTTGATTGCAAAATGTTATACACAAAAAATGAGCATGTATTTACAAAACCCAACATCTCTATATATACACACACAATAGCCGTCAGGGCATCTGCAAATGAACCAGCCGTTACACTTGAGTGCACACCCACCCGCTCTGACTGGGTTCGGTATCCCGGCTGCTTCGTTTCTTGGGAAGTAAACCGAAGTACACAATATTGCACTTTTGATTTGCGATTGTACGCTTATAATTTTGTTTATATGTTTTTTCATAACCAGCAATGTAAATTATATGTCATGAATAAGTGATAATTGTGTTTTAATTATGTTTGATTTTTTGGTTGCATGTGACCTTTAACAACATAAGGTGTCATTCTTCACAAGTGTAGGATTCAAGGGATTTTTCACAAGAAAAAAAGCAATCTTTTGGTTCAATGATTTTAAAGCTTGTATTGTGTTTTAGTCTTAACATGAAACATGAAACAACTCAGATACAGCAGGTATAGAACAGAGAAGACTATCGCTTAGCGGCATTTATGCCACAGAAAGATGTTTGTGTCCTGGGGGGTCCCAACTTGGCTGCTCTCCTGATGTATAGGACCAAGTGTTTCTTTGATAGGGAGCTGTTGGTGTCATTTCGAGAAAACTGTTTTGTCTTCTTGGCAGGTTGTGTTTTTAATATGTGGATAAGTCCACATCTCTTCCTTCCTTTATGTCGGCTTGGTTACAGATTCTTCTGTGTCATTATTATGGGATGATAAAATCTCGACTGAAGGGTTGTAACGCAAGACAAGGATTTTATTCTTGCTGACCCTCATCATCATCATCATCATCAGTATCGTCATCGGCAGCCATGACAGATTCACTGTCACTTTCTACTTCGGGCATATCTATACGAGTCAGAATGTCTTTCATGATAGTTTTCATGAAACGGGTTATCTTGTTTTTGATGATAGATTGATCAGTGCCAGGGTCCATATCACTCAGGCTGTCTAGGTTGGGTTGAAATAGAGGTGCCTGTTTAAAGTATTGAGTGAACTCTATGACATTGTTAAGGCTATTGGCCAATTCATTTCCCCATATCTGTTTCATTTTTCTGTCAATCCAATCTTCTGTTCGACCCTGTTGTCTGTACTTTTTCCTTTTGAGTTTCATCACGTCATGGTTGATGTTGTACACACGATTCCAGATGCGTTGTAAACCCACACTTTGCCACTCCTCCATGTCAGTGCTTGAAGGCTTCCCACGACATTGTTTTCCAGCAGAACCTCCTCCTTTCTGTACAGGAAGTTGTTCCTCGCCTTCACTGTTGTCGTCACTATCATATCTGAGACGTTTCCTCTTGGATTTCAAACTGGTGTTTGCTGGACACCATGTTTTGATATGTCACTGTAGATCATGCATATTGTCTATCAATACGCCGCAGTCGGTACACGCAGTGGCCATGGTGAGAGGTCCTGTGTCGTCACTCGAGATGAATGCTGTTTCAGCTTCGTTGTCAAAGCTAAGAGATCTTTCTTTGGATGTGTGATCAGCACACATGTCGGAAGCTGTCTGAACGTCTAATAGTGGAGAGACCTCTTTTACCTGTTTTTGTTGCAAACCACTCTGTTGATCAGATGTATTGAGGTTGGTTTTCAAGAGATTGACATGGAGTCTATTTTTTTCACTTGTACTAGGTTTGAGATCCACTGTGATGTGTCCATAAGGTGTTTCAACAGCCTTTTCATAAAGAGTCATAAATCTACTAATGTCGTTAGGAAATATCCTTCTGGCAAATAACTTCACCTGCTGTCTGTCCACTGGTGAATTGAAAAGTGTTACATAATGTGAATTTAGAGCAATGTCACGAGATTCCTTACCTCTTGGGAAGAGGTTTTGCAATAGCAAAAAGATAATAACATTTTTGTGGTGGGAGGTTTCAGTAAACAGACGGGAAATCCGCTTATCGTTTCAGACAGAAAATCATCCAACACCATCATGTTCTGGTTGTGGGCATCAAAGTAGTTTTCATCTTCGATATTGTAAGGTATTCCTTTCACAAAACGTACTTGGGGTAAAGTTTGAAGAATGCTATCGTAAAGAGGTTGCCACACAGTATAACACCAGACTATACAGTCAGGTTGAGGTTGAATGAATCCATGTCTTAATAGGTTGAAGACAAACACTGACTTTCCACATCCACTGGGTCCGACGATGATGCCATTGGAGGGAATCAGAAATTTGAATCGTTCGTGCTTCTTGTGCTCCTCCTGAGGAGGAGGAGTAGGAGGAATTTGTTTATCCTGAGACGGAGAAAGTTGTTTATCCTGAGGAGGAGGAGGAGGAGGAGGAGGAGTTGTTTATCCTGAGGCGGAGAAAGTTGTTTATCCTGAGGAGGAGGAGAAGGAAAATGTTTATCCTGAGGAGGAGGAGAAGGAAATTGTTTATCCTGAGGAAGAGGAGGATGTAACTCTTGAATTGATCCATGCATATGCATCTGCTTCTGATGTCTTTGTGAATTATCTTTTCACGTAAATCTCTTGTCACAGTCTGGACAGGTGGTAGTAAGCTCCATAGTG